CCTTAGTGGGGATCAGCAGCTCGGCCAGGCCTTCGTGCGGGAGAGCCCATGCCGACGAGCGTGTGCTCACACTCAGTCTCGTACCAGCCCTGCGGCCACATTCACCTTCCTCGGACTCGCACAGGTGCGCACACACCTCCTTCTCCCGCCACATCTGTCAGCCTTGGCCTGCCTCCATTCACTCCTGCGCAAGCATCCACCCACTGCTTCTTCACCGCCTCCCTTCCATCTCTTTCTCTCCAAGGCAAGATGGGGGCCGGTGGACACCCATAGCATGTGGGTCTTACTTGGACGCAAAGGCTCTCCTTATCATGGACACCCCTTCACTGCTGCTGGCCCCTTACCACCCTCTCCTAGACAGCCATCTATGTCTGTGGTCAAATGATCGAGAAGTGGCTGAAAGCTTGTGAGTTTTCAGTCCAGTTAGTATTTCCCTAAATGCCAGCTTTTCCAGTTGCCTTGGATGTGTCTTGGCTGTGAGTGTCGAGCAGCACCAAAGGACACAAACTAGCACTTTTATTTTTGGATCATTTGTGGACCTTAACTGGTTCAGTGCCTCCTTTTTGTGAGTTGGCTGGTGGGTAGTGGATGAGTGTAAACAGGAAGACAGAAGCAACAATTTAATTAATGTAATGTAATTTATTGGATTTGTTATGACCTCCCACTCCAGAAGACTCTAGGTGGTTTACAAAATCCAGGAAACAGTAAAAGCAATTAAACCAGTTAATAAAAACAAGGGAGTGATAGAGATTGTCTCCTGAATGGATGGGCTAAAGGAAGACAGGGAAGGAGACAACTATGTGGATGTTCTGACAGGCTTCTGTAGGCACTTTTAATATTTTTAGGTGCCAATACAATGATGCCAATCCTCAGTGCCCTCCTACTTTAATGGACAACATCTTATCTCTGCAGGTTCAGATCCCAACTCCAAGGAGGAAAGGTGGTGCCTTGTGACAAAAAAATAGAGGGAGAAAGGCAGACTTTCTACAGCAGTATAGGAAGTTTCCATTAAGAAAATATTTCATATGGACAAGGAAGATCTTGGTGGCCCTGGAGCAGAAGCTGGCCTGCTTCCATCCAGGAAGGGAGCACTGGGCATTTCTGGGAAAGGACAGTTCAGACGCACCTGGAGGACATGGTCTGCTCAGTTATATGAAACCAAGACTTTCAGAGGTACTGCTGTCCTTGAACAGTTTGCAGCCCAGTCAAGTTTCCGCGTTGTCAGTGGCCAAAACTAGAGTAAGACTCAAAGGCTCAGATCCTGCACTCGGTAATTTATACTTTCAGTTATGGAGAGCCTGGAGAGAGAACATATCTCAGAGGCCACTGACCAGATGGTGCCCTTAGGAGAAACTTTTCTCCTGTCCCAGGCAGAGAACAAGAAGGAAGAGCAGCAGGTAAGAATGTTTCTTTTTGATAATTCAGTCCATATTGAAGGTATGCTAAACATTGTTTAATGAACTCCCCAAATATGTTTTTTCGTATGATTTACAGAAATTTGTGCCAAACAGAAAGCATTACCATTATCGTTCCTTCTTTAATCCTTAGTCCTTGCCCTGAATTCACATTTGCTTTTTAGGAAAAGAAGGGATTGACTGATATTGTCCTCATATCTTCTAAAGCTGAGAAGGGTCCATCAGAAAACAGGCCGGGGTCCTTGTCAAGTGGAGCTCTGGAGACGAGAGAAGGAACAGTGCTTTCCCTGGGTAAGGAATAAAGGCCAAAATGGTCTGACCTTTCTCTCCAGAATTCAGCAAACCTCACTGATGGTTTTATGTCCACTTAATTATTTGGGGGAGGAGAATCTGTCTCCATTGTGAATTACTGAAAGAGTTTCTCCACAAGCATCAGCTCTTTGGTTGGTGGACAGCTCTTTTCTAACAGAAGTAAATGCAACTGACCCGCATCCATTCTTTCTCTCCCAGGTGATGGAATGATGCTGGAAACCGATATGCAGCCAGCTGTTTGTTTTGATGGAGAGGAAGTAGCTGCTGGGCAACTAGATCAGGTAGTGAGAAAAAGTCTCTAAGGAGACAGGCCAGCAAGAAGCTGGATGCCAACGTCCAGATAACATCCAGCATCATATTTAGTCTCTGTGTTATCTCTAAGGAGGAAACATTTCGTTATCTTTCAGAGCCCCTTGACCTTGGAGGAGGTGGCTGTGTATTTCACAGAGGAGGAGTGGGCGCTGCTGAGTCCCGAACAGAAAGCTCTCCACCAAGAAATTATGGAGGAACTTATGGCTTTTCTTGGTAGAGCATTTTACTTTTATAGCCCTTTCCTCTCATTTATAAGGATACATCATTGTTTGTTAAGGAAAGCGTTTAGCAAATCTTTCTCCTTAATGAGTGAGTTTGACAGTGGCAAAAAATATGTCAGATGCAGTGTAATCAAAACCATTTAAAATTTAGCAGGGAGTTGTTTTAGTATGAGGATGCACATTACAAGTCTCATGTGAGCTGTAGCTCAGGTGCCTTCATTTTGTAAACAGGCAGACCCCCTCCATCCAAATGGTCCCACCTTGAATGTGTGATGCCCGGAAAGAGCTAGAAAGGAATCCTTTCTGTACCCTGAGTTATGCTTTGTGGAGATACAGGATATAACAGAGAAGGAATCAGTTCTCGGGAAGAATGTTGGACAGGCCTAGAAGCCCTGATGAGGGTGTTCTGCTATGCTTTCCCCTGGTAGAGCTTTAGGATGAGAATTTTATTTTGATTCTGGAAAGCATTTGGGATGCAGTGGTGGCATTAATCTACCCTCCCCAATTGGGCAACCTCCAGAGTTGTTGGCTTGCCTCTCATGGTTTTCAGGGTCACTGCTGTGAGATGAGCAGCCATATAAATCTTTCAAAGAATTCAATAAATTCTGCACTAGACAACTTTGGGAGAACAACCAAGTGATGGACAAATATGGCCTATATGCATCACAGTATTTAAAACCGATCTGAGCAATTTTATCTACAAATTCAGTAGGCCATGTTTTGTCCCATTTGTATGGTAGATTTCCTAATATTTACTTTATATGGAAACCCTCCTGTCCTTCCTTTAAGAAGAAAATACGGTAGTAAGTTTGCTCCAGCAGTGTCCCTGGATAGAGTAACTGTCTCTTGCCCAGCTGTATATTTTCCTCATTAACTCAGAATATTCACTGATTTGAGGATCGTTTTCAGAACTAAACATTTACAAGTTTTCTTTCTTTATTCCTCCAGGTAATGAATGGAAAATTAAGAATAAAGGTGACTTATGTACACCTCAGAGAACTTTTACAGGAAAAAAACCATATCAGTGCTTGGAATGTGGAAAGTGCTTCAGTACGAAGACCAAGCTTTCCATACATCAAAGAAGTCATACAGGGGAAAAACCGTACACCTGCTTGGAGTGTGGAAAGTGCTTCAGTTTAAATGCATATCTAGGTAGACATCAACAAATTCACGCGGGAGAGAGAACATGTAGGTGCTTGGAGTGTGGAAAATGCTTCAGTTCGAACACGCACCTCCGTAGACATCAAAGAACTCATACTGGAGAGAGACCATATCAGTGCTTGAAGTGTGGAAAGAGTTTCAGTGTGAGCAGTAATCTTGCTTCTCATCATAGAGTTCACACTGGTGAGAAGCCATATAAATGTTTAGAGTGTGGAAAATGCTTCAGTTCAAACAGACATCTAAGTGTACATCATAGAACTCATACTGGGGAGAGACCATATACGTGTGTGGAGTGTGGAAAGGGCTTCAGTGTAAGCAGTTCTCTCACTTCCCATTATAGAATCCATTCAGGTGAAAAACCCTACAGATGTTTGCAGTGTAGTAAATGTTTTGCTCGCAGTTCAGACCTTGTGAAACATAAAAAAATTCACACAGGAGAGAAACCCTATAAATGCTCAGAGTGTGGAAAGAGCTTCACACGCAGTTCAGACCTTATTACACATAAAAAAATTCATGTGGGAGAGAAACCACATAAATGCTTGGACTGTGGAAAGTGTTTCAGTAGAAAAAACAGCCTTTGCACCCATCAAAGAACTCATATCGGAGAAAGACCATATAAATGTTTGGAATGTGGAAAGTGTTTCAGTCAGAGGATAAATCTCACCTGTCATGAAAGAACACACACAGGAGAAAAGCCCTTTAAATGTTTAGAATGTGGAAAATGCTTTAGTGTGAGCAGTTCTCTTACTTCCCATCACAGAATTCATACAGGCGAGAAACCCTATAAATGTTTGGAGTGTGGAAAATCTTTCCCTTGCAACTCTCACCTTACTAAGCATAAAAGAAATCATACAGGAGAGAAACCTTATAAATGCTTAGTGTGTGGAAAATGTTTCTATTGGAATGCACATCTTAGTACTCATCAAAGAACTCATACAGGGGTGAAGCCATATCAATGTTCAGAATGTGATAAATGCTTTGCTCGCAGTTACGACCTGGTTACACACACAAAAATTCATACAGGCAATAAACCACACAAATGTTTGGAATGTGGAAAGACCTTTGTTACGAAGGCAAACCTTAACACACACAAAAGAATTCATACAGGAGAGAGACCATACAAATGCCTGAAATGTGGAAAAAGTTTTACTCAGAGGATAAATCTGAGTTCTCATCAAAGAATTCACATAGGGTAAAAACTAAACATGCAGGAAAGCCTCCCTTCTCAGCTAACAGTTTTAAAGCTGCTGCTAATATGTGAAATCACCTCCCCAAAAAGAAATACAGCAGGAAAAGCAAGAAGCAGCCTACATTGAACTGAGCTGTTTCTGTATTGAAAATCCATTTGGTGGAAATTAACTTTTTAAAAGCAGAAATTGGTTTTGTAAAAGCAAATGAATGCAATAAGACATGCAGTTAGCAGAATCAAGATAAATACTCATATGCCATTGCCTGGAATCTCTGTTTCACATGAATAAAATAATGTTATGTTTGAATTCTTGTAGCAGGAGAAAGAGAAGGGCTGTGGCACCTGGCAATTCCCTACTTCAGGGCGTAAAAACATCTGTGCTGAAGAGACCAGTTAGCTAGTGAACTTTTCCTTGGATTGGGGGGTGGATGGGTTGGTAAATGGAAGGAAGGTATAAAACAATATCTGATGCCTACAAAGCCTAATAGTCAGATGGTCCCCTTAAATTAATTGATACTGTACATTTTTTTTAGAAAATTATATTCATTATTGCAAAATCAGTGCTTTAAAAAAAATCAGAAGGCAGGCAGAAAGAAAAGCCTTCACTTCCAGAACCTGAAATATGTCAATAATAGTCATTTTGAAGCCCCGTTTGTTGATACAATTACAAGAAATGAGGCATTTCATCTGTTTCTAATAAAGATAGTTCCTCTTTAAGATGGTTATTAAGGAATACTGTGATTAGGAAACAAGAATTCATTATCTGAATATTTGCATAACTTTCTCCAAATACAGGATGATATCTGGATATTTCTTACTAACTGGCTTAATAAACTGAACTTGGAATCTCAATTTAAAGTAGATTGTTTTTAAGGAGTTCAGTTGGCAGATGGCCAAAGAAAAGTACTACTTTGAAAGATGTAATTGACAGATTTGCTAACTTTCTTTAAGAAAAGACATGTGGGGCCCTTTGTAAGCTTGGATTAAATATCAAAAATTTGAAATACAGAATTTTCAAGAACTGTTGCAATACGCATCAATACAAGAAAAGCCCTGTATAGTAGACTTTCAAGAACACTTGAACAACACTTCTTATTTAAGAAAAGACATGTGGGGCCCTTTGTAAGCTTGGATTAAATATCAAAAATTTGAAATACAGAATTTTCAAGAACTGTTGCAATACGCATCAATACAAGAAAAGCCCTGTATAGTAGACTTTCAAGAACACTTGAACAACACTTCTTATTGGTTCCTATTTGAAATTATAATAAATCCCAGAAGATCTCAATGTAGTATAACATTTTAAGACTGTTGAGTCTTAAAAACTTCAGGCAAGTAAGAGTAATATCTCTGACATACTTAAATGTCAATGCTAAGAAGGGTCAAACAGCTGTCTGATGTTTTGATGGAAACGAGTACAGCCAAGAGAGCTGACTTCATTCAATACAGAGAACTGAAAAAATGTTCTAATCTGTTGAAGCTGAATTAAACTAGTTTGAATAAATTAAAAGCTCTATAATAGTCTTCTTCCATCTCAGTTAACTTCTAGATTTTGAATTTTCAGCCACCTTTGTTAATTTTACTAGTATTGAATAGCTTCTACGGATAGTGGGAATTAGATGTCTACCTGTGTATTGATTTATTTTTTTTAATAATGAAAAGTAAACAAAAACTTAAAAATTACCCTTATGGTCAGGAGATGCTGTAATAGGAGTGCAGAGTTTGGGTCAGCTTGAAGATTGCTTGTGGGACGTGCAAGACACCATAATTCTAAAAGAATGAGCAAGCCTGGAATCTAAAGTGGATTCTTCACAAATAATATGAAAAATAAAGATTGAACAGAGAAGAGAGCTTTGATTAACTGATTTTAGTGAAATTTTGCAAGCCCATTAATTCTACATTGATATTACTAAAGTAATGACAGCACTTAGTTTGAAACAGTACATTTGTCATAGTGATTGTAATTGAGATAGAAGCTGTTTGAACTCACAGTTGAATTTGCAGATTGGCATTGCTGAACTGTTTGTAGGGATGGTTCTCTGCAGTTGGTAGCCTCCAGAAAAACTGCTTATAACAGTAAAATGTGCTAGATAGTAATACAATTTTTAGAGCTTGTGTTCTCAGAGCTGGAGAGTATTTTTCTTTGAAGTACGCTTTGTAGAAATCTACCCAGCTTCCTAGAAGGACTTCCTTTTGTAGTTCTACCAGTTCTTGTTTGAATCTTTCCTGGTCAACTCTGAATGGTGATGACAGAAAGGTCTAAACACTGGATTTTAGATGTCAAAAACATTCCTTGAAACACTTAGTTTTCCACATCCCTTGACATATTCAGGACTTGAATGTAGTTGATGCGTCTTCAGTATTTGGAAATGGTCCATGCTGTTGTTCAGTTCTCTTTGCCAAAGATTGTTTGCTTTGAAAGGCAGATGGGTGAGAACATGTTTTGGATCTTGCAACTGGGGACTCAGCTGCGTAAGAAGTTGATGATGCCAATCATGAATGCTAAATCTGAAACACTCTTTGAATTGTTTAGCTCAGCCACTCGGTTACCCTTGCTCTCCATTAATCTTTATCATGCCACTGTTGCTTGGTCTGGAAAATCCTCATAATTGCCACACTTTGTAGTGTATGGTTTCCTAAGGCTGTCTGAGGACACAGTTTGGATAAATTTCCCTCTTACGACAGCCAAATGTAATGTGTTGACAAGTTATCCTGGATTATTGTCCTCCATTTTTCCTCATTTTTTAAAATTTAATGCCATTTACCTTAGTAGGCTGGAGTGCCTGGGCAACTTTGTCTTGGCTTAGAAGTTAAGCAGAAAGGTCTGGATAATACTTGGATGAAAGAGCTCCAGATAATCCAAGTAGGGTTGCCTATTTGCTTGAAAAGCAAAAAACTTCCCCGCCAAAGATCAGTTGAAGAGTTACAAAAGAGTTAAAATAGACTAGACAAGCAGCCCTTCTGAATTTGAAGGGCCTCCCCTTTCTTCAGCAGGGATATTACCAGTTCTCCCAACTTGATTGATTGATTATTTATTTATTTGTTTATTTATTTTCAACAGCTTTTCATGACTGTATAATGACTTCTCACTTCCCCTGCCCCCCCCCAATTTCCAGGTAATTGTTTTTTGGGGAAAAATCAGATATGGGAGGACGAATGGAGATGTTTAATTAATTAATTAAGTTTATATGCCCATCTCACTTTTGTGACTCTATACATGTCACTTCAAAAAAAAAAAAAGGAAAAAAAAGTTGGCAGCATTAATTTGTGCCTGCTTGCCTGTCCTATTAATAAGATGTGAGGCGTATCTTTAAATCCAATTGCTTGGATACAGAGAACAGAACAGCTACTTTAATTTTGTATTACTGTACAGTATTACTGTATATTATACATTGTTTTGTTAACTACTAGACCAAGGATCTGAAGAAAGAATGGGATCCAGTACTATTGTCACAAATAAGGAATCAAACTTAACTGAGACTACTTTTCTATATACCATCATAGGAAGAGAGCTATGTTAGTCTATGATTGCAAAAAATCAGGAGTCTGATAGCACCTTTTCTGACTAAAACCATTTTATTAAAAGGCAGAAGCCGTCGTGAGTTGCATCTCTTGGTATCAGATGCATAGAGTGGCTGGACTGATGGAGTATTTAGACTGGGGTGAGGTGTTGCTGGGCGGACAGGAGGGGAGGACAGGTTACATGTGACAGATTATAAATACCTTATCAATTAATAGTAAGTGTGAAAAAAGCAATGACTTTTGTTAAGGCCTTTTGAGATAGCTTGAAAAGTTTTCACGTATGTGAGTTCAGCAATTTCTCAATCCTGCTGTTAAAAGCTTTTTTCCAAAAGAGTCAGTTTGAGGTCTGCTACGGAGTGTCCTGGGAGGTTGAAATGCTCTGATATTATTTTGCCCTTCCTCTGAGTCCAGATGTCAGACTTGTGTCCATTAAATATTTTGTGCAGAGTTTGTCCCGTTTGTC